GTGATATAACATGGAACTGTTGGAGGGACATAGTTGACCGGAATATAGGCCTCCCTGACTTTGCATCCCACAGACATTTTGTCGCTTCATTGTTGGACCGGTGAACTCCTGCTAAAATCAACAGACCCATGTAGGCTTGGAGGTCTATCTGATCCAATAATTTCCATGTGCCTGCAAACACACGCCTCCCCTCCAGGTTTGTAATCTCCAGTATTATTTCCACAATGGACTCTGATAAGAAGAGTTGGAAGCTGGACTTGATGTCAGCTGCATGAGATGTCGCATGCCTTGTTGGCCCTGGCGTCATCCTAACAATATTTTCCACTCTTGCTCTGCCTCCTCTGTCCTGGGTGGATGAATACCAGAGCAAGTTGCCATCCTTGGACTGGAATGTAGCCTCAGGTGTGTCTTCCCCAGTGGCCTCTTCCTCAGCTGCATCTTCCCCACGTGTGTCTTCCTCAGGGGCCTCTTCCTCAGGTGCATCTTCCCCACGTGTGTCTTCCTCAGGGGCCTCTTCCTCACCATCTGTTGACTTGTCGTTTTCATTATAGTCCGGATCAAAATCAGGATTGTCTTCTATTTCTGAGACATCCTCAGAGTCAAATGAGAGCAATGCACAAATAAAGCTATATATAAGGGGTCAGTGAGAAGATATCTTTCTATTATGATACATTTTGTATCGAAAGGTGTGGTTCACGTGGGGGGAGAGGCACATACGGGCGGGAAAGAGATGAGGAGAGGAGACACCTGTTCAGTCTGAAAGGGGTTCCCGTGGTGTGTGTGTGTGTGTGTTGAATGGTGAATGAAAGGATCTAGAGTCACCCATTCATTTCCTATGGCGGCCATTTTTGACCGGGAACACCACAGGTGTTACAAAGTTGATTTACCCACTCAAAATTCAACGAAAGTGGTGATCATCAATTGTACATGTTCAAATGCCTAGTGTGGAGGATATCATAAGGCCTTGAAACAATAAAATATAAAACAAAAAATGTATGATTGTTGAAAGTAGGAAATCGGTCAGATTTGACCCGAACACGACAGAAAGTGATCTAGTGCTTTTGTAAACCCTCGATGAGGCGTCTCACTGTTTCCTTCTGTGATTGTATTCTTTTATTTTGAGAACAATTATATCTAATAACTCTGAATTTGACAAACTTTTATCTATAATATTTTGAGTTTATTTAGCAAATGGCTTATAACACTGCGCTGCTTTGTGATCCTTTGTTCCTTTGGCTGTCAGACTCTACCGTGGATTCTGAGCTATAGCGAAGAGCAGGGAAGGCGGGACTTGCCCGTAATATTAGAATTAATAAAATGACTTATTTTATATCAACATTTGAGGCCAGGAGGTCAATTTAACACATTTCCTAAAATTTGTAATTCATTTAGAGTTACAGACCGTCACTTTAATGGGAGTTCTTGATTAGAGTAAAAGTAATCTTCTACTTGCAAAAGTGTGTTGCATTGGCCGGGAATCGAACCCGGGCCTCCCGCGCTGCAGCGAGCGGCGCTAAGACAGAGACCGCTGCATTATATTATATATTATATTATTTTTTTTATACAAGTGTTTGAGTTTGAATACATCGTCTGATTGTGCCTTTGAGGTAAAAGTGAGATGAGGGAAGCCCTGTTAGGCATCAGTTTTGTTCAACTATTCAAAGTACTTGCATGTGACTCCTCGTTAGTATAGTGGTGAGTATCCCCGCCTGTCACGCGGGGGCCAGCCGCGTATAGTGGGCATATCGTGCCAGCCAATCAGAATGAGCCTGTCAGCCATGTGCCTTTGTGATGAAGTCCAACCAATCAAAATGCAGGGATATTTACAGACGCGAGTTCGAAACCCGTCTCACCCCAAATAAATCAAACTTATTTAAAAGTTCAAAGTTAATAACTGGATCTCATTTTGACCTTAATAACAGCCACATTACCTTTCAAGTACATAAATGTAACTATTAGAGCGCTTCTTTGAAATGCAAAACTTGAAATGATCAGTGAATTGACAGTAATATTAACAGCAATGTCATGAAACCTTTTGACCTGCACAAAGTGTGAGTGTGTGAAGATCACAGAGGCTTATCCCCAAAGGCCTCACACACAGGTTAAAGGTCACACCTCCTCAGGATGGGAAGTGTTGATCAAGGGATTTAGACAAACACACCTGGAATATCCCAGAGGTGAGAACTCTGCAGGGGGTGCTTTGAACAAGTTCAACAATAGCTGCTTTGATCCCACTGACACTGAACTGAAACTCTATTTTCTATACAGATTGTTTTGTTAAATACTACTGTTGTTTGCCCTGAAATATGATCAATAAAAAGAAAGACTTCAATAATGTATGACATTATAATATATTTATGAACAGATGAAAAAGAGATATTTACAAAGTATATATTTACATAATTAGAATATTTATAAACAGGTATAATATAGCAGAGTTGTGGACTCGAGTCACATGACTTGGACTCGAGTCAGACTCGAGTCATACATTTGATGACTTTAGACTCGACTTGACAAAATCTTAAAGACTTGCAACTCGACTTGGACTTTAACATCAGTGACTCGTGATTTGACTTGGACTTGACCCGTTTGACTTGAAAAGACTTGCTACTTTCCTCGAACCCAAAGATTAAAAAGTATGTTCACGCGGCACTGATCGCTCTTTCTCCCTTTACACCTGCTTTGTGCATCTGTGTGCGTGAGTCACGCAGCGTGGAGTGTGTATGGTATGATATCCAATCAAATTAGATCCACGTTGTTTCGACCTGACAGCATCAACCAATCAAAGTACGAGACAACCGATAAATGGGAACAAGCTGAACGCGCGTGCACACTAGCAAAAATGATTCCAAAAGTTGTTTCGTTTGGGTACAAGGACTACCAGGTGATTAACAAAAAAAGAACTGCCGTTTGTAAAACATGCGGAAGCAATATAACAGACGGAGACGCGACAACTTCGAACTTCGTACGACATTTGAAGTTACACAAACAACGGTAAGTTTTGAACACTAGTTTGTTGTCTGAGTAACTGAGCTGCTAACTACATATTAATGAGACTGTGCAGACTGTGAACTCACTGTTAATACCACCTTGACTTAAAAACGTGGTAAACTGTATCTCCAGAGGGCTCATGTATGTATAAGTTCACCATTTTGCACGTTAAGCTCCCTTTATGGGTTGTTTTGGATGAAAGAGTGTTTGACATAAAAAATGTTGATAAATGGTCCAGTCTCGAGCTTTTGGCTAATTTGGAATTACCCCCTGCTAGCGCTATGAACGGGACTATAATCTGGGCTCGAGGGGGTGGAGCGCCAGCCCGGCCCGGTCCAACAGGTTTTCAGAATTCTCAGGCCCGAACCCCATTGTCCGAACCCCATGGCCCGAACCCGTATCAAGCCCGTTTTTTTTTTTTTCAATCCTCCCCTAACCATGTTTTAGCGTAGTATATAGTTCCGCGCACTGATATGAACATAGGCCTGGCTAGAGGGCGGAGTTATACATGGTAGTGATGTGTTGCAATGAATTGTGTGTAAGGAGTGAAATGGCCGCAGCTGTCTGATACAGATACCGAAATAATAAACTACAAGACACTTGGATGTAACGCTATGTGTCGTCAATGACAGTACTATACAGTACAACAAATTTTATCAATGTGATGTTAAAACATACACACTCTTACAGTATACAATATAATTAATATTAACCCCAAAACATAATATTAACACAATGCTAGCATTTTCTGATATCTGTTTTATATGCTTACCTGTTACAGATTTGAAGAATACCAGATGAATAAAAGCATCATAGATGAACCACAACAGCCTTCAATCTCACAATTTTTGGACGGTCGTGTGGGTTATTACAGCATGAGTCATCCACAGCAGAAAGCTATCACTAACGCCATACTGTACGACTTGATAATTGATTGCAACCTTCCCCTGTCTATTGTAGAAAACAAGAGTTTTCGGCACTTTTTGACAGTAGTTGACAAGAAGTACAGCCCAGTGTGTCGCAGAACGATGACATCAAAAACAGAAAGTCTCGCTGAGGAGAGACGTTCAAGATTAAAAACTCAATTGAGCAACACTGAGCATGTTTCAGTCACTGTGGACATTTGGTCTGACCGAAAGATGAGGGGATTCCTTGGTATCACTGTCCACTGGATAGAGAGAGAGACAGAGAGGATACAGCTAAAGACTAATCTCTTGGCCTGCAATCGCTTCAAAGGCTCACACACAGCTGAACGAATCTGTGACCAATTTGAGGCAATATGCGATGAATACAGCATAAAAGATAAATTGGACTACATTATTAGTGACAATGCTGCTAACATGCGAAAGGCATTCACTGTGTGCTTCCCCAGTGAACAAGAGGATGATGACAAAGATCATCTTGATGACCCTCTGGTCTGGTGTGACTTATCCCTTGAAGAACAGCAAACGGTAGATGCTGCTATGTCAAGGAAACAGCGCCTGCAGTGTTTTGCGCATACGCTTCAGCTGGTGGTGGGAGACGGTTTAAAAGAAACAAAAGTGGCATGTCCTTCTCTTTCCAAGTTATCAAAACTTAGCTCACTGCTCCACACAAGCACAACATTCAAAGATGTGTTTGATAGTGAATTTGGGGAACAGAAAGGCATCCCTGCTGCAGTAAACACTAGATGGAACTCAACACTGAGGCAAGTGAAGGCAGTTCTCCACTGTGATCATCTAAAACTCTGTGCTGTTCTAGAAAAGGCTGGGCATAAGGAGTTGTGTTTCACGCCAAGAGAGTGGAATCTGTTGAAGGAGTTGGTGGACATTTTGAAGCCGTTTGGAGAAGCAACTGATCTGACACAGGGTGATAAGGTCGTCACAATCAGTGCAGTTGTTCCATCCGTCTTGTCCCTCAATCATCACCTTGAGAAGCTAAAGCCTCAAGTTCGTTTCCTTAGCGGCCTGGTCAGAATTCTCCAGGCATCCCTGAACAAAAGATTTCTTGGGATATTCATTAACGTGAAAATGGCCAGGAGTCAAGATGGGATCACTGCCCCCTTTTCAGACCCAGTCTACCTGAAAGCAGCCGTCTTGGATCCAGCCTTTTCTCTGCTGTGGGTGGAGCCTCATGTGCTGGTCAATCGTGACATCAAGGCAGAGGTGGCACAACAAGTTAAAGGTAAATACCATTGACTTTAATGCAACTTTCGTCTGATCTAATTGACAGCATCAATAATTGCATTTTTCAGTCCAACACTGTATCACCAACACCAATGGTAATAAAGGCTATTTTGTTTCTGCTGCTACTGTTTTTCCAGAATTGATCCTGCAAGATGCTGCAGAGACTGAACAACCTGTGCTTCTTGGTGATGAAGAGGACCTTGGTGAAGGAGAAGGGCTGTTTGGTGCATACCGTAAGAGGCAGAAGAAGGATGTCGGGACCTCTCCAGCACTACAGCTAAGTACACTACCTAGACATAGCCGATGGAGAGAGCGCCCTTTTGTTCTGGGCACTAAACATGAAGACTCTTCCTTCACTCTACCGAGTGGCCATCAGAGTGTTAGCAGTGCCTGCCTCTAGTGCTCCCGTGGAGCGAGTTTTCAGCCATGGTGGTGTCATTCTACGCCCCCATCGTGCTCAAATGAGTGACAGACTGTTGGCCAATTTGATATTTTGCAAATGCAATGCAGCATAGGGCCCTTGCATAGAAAAGCACAACTCTGTTAATTGTTATGTTCATGACACTTCTAATCCAGTTCTCTCGCTCTCTCGCGCGTGCACGCTCTCTTTTCTCTCTCTCTCTCTCTCTCTCTCTCTCGTGCGCTCTTTCTCTGATAGAGGCATGAATGTCTGAGTTAAATGAGTGTTTGAACAATGTTCTTGTAAAAAAAAGGTTTAATAAATATATACAAATCTTAAAGGCATACATGATCTGTTTAAATATTTTTTCTGTTTTTAAAAGGACTCGAAAGGACTCGAAACTCTAACGATAGGACTTGTGACTCGACTCGAGACTTTCCTGTCTTGACTTGGGACTTGACTCGGGACTTGAAGGCAAAGACTTGGGACTTGACTCGGGACTTGAAGGCAAAGACTTGAGACTAACTTGTGACTTGCAAAACGATGACTTGGTCCCACCTCTGTAATATAGTAACTATATACAATAGCACCAATAGACAGCAGATAGCTCATTTATTTACACGCCACCTTTCCCTCTCCCGGTCATAAAAAGGAGACTGCTTGAACTGGTCCCAGCTCATCTGCGTCTCCATCCCCTGGTCCTTGTACAGAGAGAATACTTTGGCAGGGCAGTAGATGTATTTCCCTGACAGACCAGGGAATTGTGTATGAACATGAGGACTGTTTGGTCCCTGCTTCAGCTGCAGTTTGCAGAACCCGCACTTTCTCCCAGTGGCAGGAGACTCATCTCTCTTCCTTTTCTTCTCCTGCCGCTCATTCACTCTCTGCTGCGTGGCCTCTAGCTCTCTCTGGTAGAACTCAGTGTCCATAAAGTCTCGGAATGGCATCCTGGAGTTGGTCAAACCCTCTGTGTGATAGGTGTTATAGACCTTGGTGGAGCAATAGAAATACCTGGTAGGACCCTGCTGGTAAAACTCGTGGATGGAGCTGCTTTGATAGATGGATAGATACTTTATTGATTCCGTAGGATGAATTTATGTGTCCAGTAGCAGCAAAAATAAAAAGTGCTTTGGGTGACCTTGGACTGTAAAATGCGCTCTATAAATAAACATTAAAAAATAGGATACATTAAGTACAAAAAAATGGCGATTAAAGAAAGAGTGGCGAGAGCAGTGCAGGTTTTTCAGCAGCTGAAATACTGTATATACAAAAATGCAACTCTGCAGCCTTTATTAACAATGTGTATCATATAGAAAATTGAAAGAGCGCGACAACAGTCTTTCTAATCTGACTTAGCGACACCAAATAACATGGACATAACAGCAAATCACCCACTTTAGTTCTGATTTGAAAAGCCCAGCGGTGCACTGTCCTTTGGCTGAGTGTTTTAAGCCAGATGAGGAAGTGCCAAGCCTTAGCAATTCATCAATTAATAAAAAATAAAAATAAAAACATAATTAGTAAGGATCACATGAGAGATAACAGGATTTATTTGTTTAGGTGACTTCCATGTATTTGTCAGTAGCTCGGAGACTGAACGACGGCAACGTTACTGTACCAGCAATAACATGAGGAAACACAAGTTCATGGAGACGTATAGCCACTTTTTAAATAGCACAGTTTTAAGTCTTTCTAGTTGTCTTTTTTATTTTTATGAAGTTCTCAGATTGTTTTGAATGCCCTTGCTGCAGATGATATAGTAAAACCACCGCTCGTCACAACATTATAGTTACCTTCGGGGAATTTACAAAGCCGTCGATTCGCCAACGCAGATCAGAGAATAAAATGGTTTAAACACAAAATATATAGAAAACACATAGTTATTGGTCCATAGGGGTTAGGGTTGACTAATGTTGATATATGTCCATACATGTTGATATATGTCAGAATGTCCTTGATCATTACCACAATGTCACGTGGAGAGAAAAACAAGGAGACCCAAAATGCAAAACTCAAATAATGGGTTTAATAAAAGTACTTCAAACTCAATATCCAGCAAAAACACAGGGACTGAGGACAAGAACAGAAACAGACGAGAAATGACAAATACGGAACAGGGAATGAAGGAGCACACAAGGCCAAATACAAGACTAAAGAAGACACAGGGATTTCCTAAACCGTGACACACAGTCCATTTTGAAATACTCTTTCATTAGTTAAATAAATTCCACACAATAAAAGACACCCGTTTGCCTCAGATCATTATAAATAGCATTGCCATAGCATTTCCCATTCCAAAACAAACAAGCAAATACATCAGCACGGGTGGCACGGTGGCTGAGTGGATAGCACTCTCGCCTCTCAGCAAGAAGGTCCAGGGTTCAAATCCCGGTTGGACCAGGGCCTTTCTGAGTGGAGTTTGCATGTTCTCCCCGTGTCTGCGTAGGTTTCCTCCGGGTGCTCCAGTTTCCCCTACCACTAAAAATATGTACAATAGGTCTGGCATGTGCCTCCTGTACTGGCACCCCCACTCCCAAAAAATAACAATTGTAAACCGCTTTGAGACTCCGATGTGCAGTGAAAAGGCGGTATATAAATAAAGATTACTTACTTACTCTTTGCTTCTGCACATCTTGGCGTCTTGGATTAGTCACAATGATTGCTTGAATGACCACAGTGCAGCCGTTGTCCTGGTCGCCTCCCTCTCGGCATTCTGGGTATAAAACCACAGCATTGTCACTCCACCAGCTCAGCACTTTTTCTAATGAGCCGCTGAACTGGTGTCACTGGATGCTGTGCCGTACGAATGGAATTATTTGCATTGTTTTTGCCCTTTTTTAGTTCTGGAAGAGGACGAGGAGGATTTCCCCAGCACTCGAGCCGACGTATTTTATCACCACAATATAAATAGCAGCAGAGAAAAACGTAAGTTATGATCGACATTTTCTTATTATTTACTATCTATGTGTGTTGTAATGTAGTCTGAATGTGTGCCATTGTATATTTGTTTTTCAGTATTTCAAGCTTTGAGCCCAAAATAAATTAATGGTATAGATTTCAAAGGTGAGGCAATCACGTTCAAGGCTACCACCGCTGGGATCCTGGCCACTTTGTCGCATTGTATTGACCTCATGGTGAAGAGAGAAGAGAGCTGGCAAAAAAGAGTGGATAAGGTGAGTAGCTTCTATAGCAGGGGCCAGATAAAAAAATAAAAAAAAATCTCCAGGAGCCGAAAATGTTTGAAGTTAATTTTTCTTATTTGTCCTATTGTCAACTGTTTTCAAGTGTCCAAAAAGTGCTATATAAGTACCATGTATTATTATTATTTGTATTATTATTAATATTTGTATCTGTGGCATTTGTAAATTCATGTTTTACATCATTATCAAAGTATTTAGACAAAAGGATTACTTTAATTTTACTTGAGTTTGGACATTATTTTGAAGTAGATTTTTCTTTGCAAAACTCATTTAATTACTGTATATTTGGACCAAACGAATACTGGGTTAAGTGAAAGTAATGAACAATATCAATCAATCAATCAATCAAAGTTTATTTGTAGAGCGCCTTTCATACACAGGGCAACACAAAGCGCTTCACAGTCCACATCACAAATAATCACATAAAACAAACACCAGAATCACAATTAAAACATTAAAATCACACAAAAGATTAAAACACAATTAAAACATTAAAATCACACAAAAGATTAAAACACAATTAAAACATTAAAATCACACAAAAGAATAAAACCATTAAAACTTTCAAAATTACACAAGAAATTTAAAAAAAATAAATAAATAAATGACAACAGTGCATTAGAAATGGAGATAAAATCCTTCAGTTGTATGCACAGGCAAACAGAACAGTCTTTAACCTGGATTTGAACATTGACAGAGTAGACGCCTCCCTCACATTTTCAGGGAGATTGTTCCAGATCTTAGCTGCATGGATCTGAAACGCAGCCTCCCCATGTTTGGTTCTCACTCTGGGCACCAGCAGGAGGCCAGTCCCTGTGCTCCTCAGAGTCCGGGCTGGTTCATATGACACCAACATGTCACTAATGTATTTTGGTGCAAGGCCATGGAGAGACTTGTACACAAGCAGAGCTGTTTTAAAATCTATTCTCTGAGCCACAGGAAGCCAGTGCAGAGACCTGAGGACCGGACTAATATGGTCATACTTCCTGGTTCCTGTCAGGACTCTAGCTGCTGCATTTTGGATGTACTGCAGCTGCTTACAGGTCTGTTTGGACAGACCTGTAAGCAGGCCATTGCAGTAGTCTAGCCTGCTGGAGACAAATGCATGGACAAGAATCTCCAAGTCTGCCCTGGACACTATATTTCTAACTTTGGCAATGTTCTTCAGATGGTAAAAAGCTGTTGATGTTATTGATTTTATGTGGCTATTGAAATTTAGGTCTGAGTCCAGTATTACCCCCAAATTTCTGACCTTGTCTGAAGGAAGTAGGGAGAGAGACTGAAGTTGACAAATGACGCCCTCTGTTTCTGGGGACCAAAGACAATGATTTCGGTTTTGTCTGCATTTAGCTGGAGGAAATTATTTTGCATCCAGTCACTGATCTGTTGGATACAGTGAAGGAGCAAATCCAGTGGTCCATGTTCTCCTGCAGTCAGTGAGACATAGATCTGAGTGTCGTCGGCGTAATTGTGGTAGGACACTTTGTTTCTTTGTATTAACTGACCTAACGGCAGCATGTAGAGATTAAATAGGAGAGGTCCCAGGATCGACCCCTGTGGTACTCCACAGGTCAGGGCCACATGATCTGAGACGCAGTCTCCAATCTCCACAAAGTACTTCCTATCCTCCAGGTAAGACCTAAACCAGTCTAGGGCTGTGCCAGTGACACCAACCCAGTCCTCCAGTCTCTGCATGAGGATCTCATGGTCGACAGTGTCGAACGCGGCACTAAGATCTAACATGACCAAAACTGTGACTTTACCGGCATCAGTGTGAAGTCGAATGTCGTTTGTTACCTTCACTAGAGCGGTCTCAGTGCTGTGGTGGGGTCTAAACCCAGACTGGAACATATCAAAAGAATTATTCATTGTTAAAAATTCAGTAAGTTGTTGGGAGGCCACTTTTTCAAGAATTTTTCCAATGAATGGCAGATTCGATATGGGGCGATAATTTTGAAGTCCCGCAGGATCCAGACTGCTCTTTTTTAGGAGAGGTCTTATGACTGCTGTTTTTAGGGCCATAGGAAATGTTCCTGACGACAGAGACATGTTTACTATTTGTGTCAGTGAAGGTAACAAACTGCTCAGGACGGACTTCAGAAATTTAGAGGGCAATATATCCAGGCTACATGTGGAGGAGCTCAGACTCATGATTATCTTTTTGACAGTTTCAGTATCCACAGGTGCAAAGTGAGTTAGCTCAAAAAGCTTCTCAGGCTGTTGCATTGTTATACGTGCTGTGGAGGTGATAGTGTTTTTGATTCCTTGTACTTTGTCATCGAAAAACTGTGCGAACTCATTACACCTAGATTTAGAGGAAAATTCTAGGGGCAACTTTACAGGGGGGTTCGTTAATCTACCAACTGTTGAAAACATAACACGAAAATTGTTACTGCAACCTCCAATAATGTCAGAAAAATACATTTCTCTTGTTCTACGTAGAACCCGGTTAAATTCACCCAACTCATCTTTAAAGATTTCATAATCACCCTGGAAATTGGACTTTCGCCACTTCCGTTCGGCCCTCCGGCACTCTTGCTTCTGTGCCCTGACCGAGTCTGCCTTAGTCCATGGGGCCTTTTTCTTACTGGTAACTATTTTAACCGTCACAGGAGCAATGGCGTCCAGAACAGTCAGAACACTGGTGGTGACAGAGTTATACAATTCATCAACAGTAGAGCATGGAGTTTTCTCAAAATTTAGCATTCCCATGAACAGTTCACTTGTGTTTTCATGTATGTGTCTTCTTCTAACAATTGTAAATTCAGCTGGTGGTTTGCTAGCAAAACACATGTCAAAAAATACACAGAAATGATCTGACAAAGCAACATCAACTACATTAACATTTGATACATTAACCCCCTTTGTAATTAGCAGGTCAAGAGTGTGCCCCCTGCTGTGGGTGGGGCCACTCACGTGCTGAATGAAACCAAAGGTCTCAAATACAGAAGCCAGCTCCTTTGCATTTCTGTCATCAACATTATCAACATGTACATTAAAATCCCCTGTAATAACTAAACTATCAAAATCTGTGCACACGAATGAAAGTAGTTCAGTAAAATGGTCAATAAAATCGCAACATGACTGTGGTGGCCTGTACAGGACAATGAAAAGAGTAGAAGATTGCTTTTGTTCCATTTTAAAAGAAATATACTCAAACGATGAAAAATTTCCAAGGGGCATTCTATGGGAGACAAAGTGCTCTCTAAAAACTGCAGCTATGCCTCCCCCCCTTTTGTTTTCTCGTATTTCGAATTCGAATTTAAAATTGGGTGGTGTTGCTTCTATTAGAACTGCATTTCCTGTATTTTGGTCCAGCCATGTTTCAGCCATAAGCATAAAATCAAGATCATAAGAAGTGATAAAATTATTAATTAAAAATGAATTGTTACATAGAGATCTGACATTAAGCATAGCAAGTTTAAAAATAACGTCAGAGTCGATTAATGTGGTTGATTGATTTCTACAGGGAACAGAAATTAGATTTGCAGAGTTGGACCGTCTAACTGCTGTCCTGTTTTGATTTCGTTTTTTAGAATTTAAAAACATTTTTGAGCTGGTGCGAGGAACACACACAGTCTCAATTGGCCTAAAATGTGAAAACCCTTGTTGTTGTTCTTTAGCTCCCAGAGTCAGAAGGGAGTCAGCACAGTTCAGTGTTTGGACTGGTAATGCACTGCCAGATGGACAGGGAGCAGTGTTTGCACCGTTGTACTCACCCGGTGCTGGTGAGCAGGAGGCGGGGGAGTGCGGTGGGGTCCGAGGGGGCTCAGATGTAAACAGTCACGCCCCCCTCGGGGAACGCTGAACAACATGACGCATGTAGTCCATCAACAGGCTGCTACCGTATCTGTTTGGGTGTAATCCGTCTGGACGATAGGCTTCGTAACGTTTCCAGAAAAGGGCAAAGTTATTCACAAAGACAAAGTTAAAAGAGCTGCATGTAGCCTGGAGCCACATATGCAGCGCCACAACACGACTGTAGAGGCAGTCACCTCTGTTTACAGTCGGGATTGGACCAGAAATAAAAACAGATAATCCGGAGGATTGAAGGAGGTGGAACAGATCCATAAAATGTTTCTTAGTGACTTCTGACTGCTGAAGTTTCATGTCGTTAATTCCCACATGCACGACTACCTTGGAAACGGTATCAGGCAGGGACTGAAGCAGAGGAGGGAGACGTATGAGCAGGTCTGGTACAGTAGCTCCGGGAATACAGCGAGTGACCGCGTTAAAGAAGCGGACGTGTCTCACGATGGAATCTCCAATAATCAGAGTGGTCGGGGCGAAGAGTGGACGTGGACGCGGCCTCGGAGAAGGAGCTCGGTGGACGGAACCAGCGGGTTCACCTGAAGCAGGACCCGAGCCTGAGCGCCGCTGAACACATGGAGAGGAGGAGCGGGGGTGCTGACTCTCAGCTACAGGCGACCCACGCTGTGTGCTCGGGGACGCTGGAGCGGTGAGAGGGGCTGGCTCTGGGCGCTGCTGCTGACCCGGTGGAGGTGAGCGGTGGTGATGATGGCTCGCTACCCCAGTCTGAGGCTGCTGCACTGGGGTCAAAGAGGGGGAACAGGCCAACATGGCTGGTGGACCGCTCTTTCGCCTGAGGACTGCTTCCTTTAGGAGCGTTTTCCTCGTAGTGGACTTGGATCCTCGAGCAGTAGAGTACGCTGCAGTGTCCAGGGATTCTGCTGAGGGGGCCGGGATGTCAGTGGAGAGGGCTGCATAGCTGTTTGCCAGACTCAGGACATGGGCCACGGCGCAGGATGGCTCCTCGGAATCCGCGGGCTCGTTATTCGGAACCGGGCGCTTAGGTGTAGAACAGGAGGGTCCGGAGCTGACGGATCTCTCCCACACGACAGTGTCACAATATGCAGCGCTCAGTGACATAAGCCGTGAATGCTGCCCACCAGCGACTTCAAAAAGTTTGGACACTAGAGATTGTTTCTCATTCAACTCTGCGCTGAGACGAAGGACTTCTTTTCGTAGTTCTGCAATGGTGGCACGGTCGCTCTCACGGAGCTCCAAGGTGAGGCGACTAATATTGTGCATGTTTGAGCCAATTTCATTGTCACTTTCCATGTCCTCGTTAGCTTGTGTTAGCCTCTGTGCTACTAGTGGGTCAGTCGGGACTAAGCGCTATTTGCTGAAACCACTGAATTAATAAGATAAAACACTCAGATATATTAAAAAACTGAACAATAAAAACGCGCTAAAAAGTTGTTAAAAGTTTACTAAAAAGGTGCACAGAGCGTCCTCTGCTCCGAAAGAAACTCCTCTCTGCAACGTAAAGTAACGTACATAATATAATTATAATTTGGTTTCAAATGTTGGAATAAGGTGAATTATATGGTTGGTTTTCATGAGAAGATTAGTTTTTAAACTGAGGTTCAACACATCATGGTAACCCCTTTTCAGAGACCACAAAAAATGGTCTGCTGGGCCGAATGTGGCTCTTGGGCCTTGTGTTTGCCACATGTATTCTGTAGGATGCATTCAGCCGTGTTGGAAAAACCTCCTTTCTTTTGTTTAATTGTGCTTCTTATTTGAAGGAAATTGAGAAAAGGCGAAGAATTGAGGAAAGCTACAAATCAGCCTTGAATGAATTTATGAAAAAGTCACATTTTGGAGGACCAGACTTTGAGGTAAAAGGTGTGACATCATTGTTCTATTTCAACATCCGACACGTTTAAAGTTAATCTTCTGCATTTTAAGGAAGGCCCAAACAGCCTCATCAACGAAGACGAGTTCTTTGATGCCGTTGAAGCTGCTCTCGACCGACAAGACAAAATTGAGGAGCAGGTATTCAATAAACAATAAACCTCCTCGGATTCAATTCACTGGGAATAAAGAAATATTATTATTATTATTTTGTATTTACAGACGGAGAAGACCAGGATTCAGAGACCCAGCCCTGTCCCGACTCCAAACATCTACTCAAGCTCTGGATCCCACCGTTTCTCCGACAAGGTGATTCATATAATTGATTTACGCATTCTCATTATATACGGTTCTGGTCTGAGCAAGACTATATTGGTGGAGCTGAAGTTGGCTTGATGATACTGCGGCAGAGGGCCAGAGAAAGTATTCCGACATGCCTGAATGAAAGACTAATATAAGATTTAAGTATTAACTTTGATCCTGAAGCCAGATCAAAGTCTCAATTCACATTTTCAGTATTATTTAGAGTTGGATTTGTGAGTGCTGTTTAGGTTGAGTTGAGTTGAGTTTTTATCATATTTATTTGAGTTCAAAATACATCAAACATTATTTTAAAATGTTGGTACTTTGATTTTTCAACATATCATTCATTAACAATTATTTATTATAATATTGTCCCTGATTCAAACTCGAAAAGCGAGTGGAAGGAAGAAAAAAATGTCAGATTCCCAACCCTGTGACTATCCATTTTGGTCAGATACATATTGTGTAGTTTTGATAACTTTTGCCACATTCTCTTTTTAGTCAACTAATTGATCAAATGCAAAAGCAGCCATTAAAATACTGCCCTACATCACATATCACAGAAATCCATTTTGCCCGTTATGTTTGGTGGCACCATAGACTGTATATTAGGAGTGGACTGATCCTAGTGTTGTTGTCACCACAGTGATAGCCTTAGTGCGAAAGACGCCAATTTGAACACAAATTTCCTTATTTGGTCATTTCTTCCACCCGAAAATGAAGGCATCTGATTGGTCAGCAGTATGGCTCATATCCGGATACAAAGACAATATCACTAATTAAACCACTGATTTTTTAAACCTTAAATAGTGATTGTGACGCAAACGGTTACTAAGCTAACTGAAACGGTTACTAATATGTAAATAGTATCATGCTATAGCAAAAATATAAGTACGATTATAATATATTTTAGCAGTCTTTCTGTGGAGGCGTTTGGCGACGGTAAGGAAACATATTCTCGCGATTTCTCACAACCACAACACCTAACCTAATGGCATAACATTATGATTATATTATTGTTTTGTGTTGATCCAGGTGTGAGAGGTCAACATGTTACGCTGGATTCTTGGAAGTAAGGAAGCCCAGAGCTCAGTGGAGGTGAGTGAGTCATTATGGCAAGTTTATATGTATAGCACAGCATACACAGGGCAACTCAAAGTGCTTAACAAATACTTGCACAAAAAAGGCTTGCACAAAAAAGAAATACCAAATCGTACAAAAGCTACGGGCAACACACAAAAAACACAAAATTACAACTACAAATAGAACAAACAAATCACAAAGACAAGGAGACAAAAAAACATAATAATAATAATAATAATAATAATGCTAATGATAATAGAGAAAGGAGAAACAAATCTACATGAATAATAATATTACAAAAAATAAATAAGCACAACCGTCCCTGAAGATTAGATCAATTCTTGTGTTTTGATCTCAGATATTGATCTTATGAGTCGGATAATCCATCTATGAAAGGCACTCTCTGATTGTGTATGAATTAAAGGAAAATCAACCTTGAACCTGGTTGGGCACAAACAGCTTTACTTTCCTCTAGACTGAGTGGCTCTGGGACAGTGGGTCAGGCGCTGGCTGTGTGGGCAGTGCTCATGCCTCACAGCAAAAAGGTTGTAGTTTCAATCCCTGTATCAGCACTGTGTCTGTGTGGAGTTTGCAGGTTTCTCCTCATTTCTTTCTGGATTTTCTCTAAAACATGCACCATTGGTAAAATCCTCCAGCGAAGTCTCTGATCAACATCTGGAGATGGGTCCCCAGGTGCTGCACTGAAGGGACAAATACATGTTCAATTTAGGTCTGTCAGTCTTTAGTCAGTTGAAGGATAAGTTGTATCTAAATTAAAAGGATTTCTACGGAAAAACTGCAAAAAATCAGAAGCCATCCATCCATTTTCTTCCCCTTAATCCATTCCTGGGTCGGGGGTGGCAGTACACAGAGCACCAGCCCCTCACTGATCCTCCTGCAGGTGGTGAGTCCACGGGAGCCTTGATCTTTCAGCGGGGGCTTCAGGCAAAGTGGGGTCGAGTGTCTTGCCCAAGGACAAAATGACAGCAGACATCGGTGGGAGTTGGAGGAGAATGCTTGTGGTGGGCTCGAACCCACGACCTTCAGGCTCAAACCCCAATGCTCCACCAACTGAGGCACTGTTGGATTTTTTGGATTTACTTTGAAATTCCAGCCACTTCAAACTCTCCATTCACAAGTTTATCTACACTTTATTTTGTGTGTAATATGTAGGTGTTTTCTTTAGAGCTTTTGCCTTTTTTAGTCTACTATAATTGACCGACTGCGGGTGTCTGCAGCACATGATTTGACAGCCCGACCTCACAGACTAATATGCCGTTTACACCAGGACGCTGCAGCAGTAAAACGTTGGGTGACAAATTGGCTTTTCGTTCACATGAAGACAGAGTTTCAGGGGGTGAGTGATTCTACTGCTGGGGGTCGCACATGTCGTGTAGTAAAGTTCCACTGTCCCCTACTGGCCGGGCACTAGAACTACCTCGATTTCCGTGCACTAAGGAGCCTGGTCGTTTTTGTTGATTGCTTTGCAGCGTCTCCGCGGCGTCTCCGTCTAAACCGGGCCTATTACATTAACCATGTGTGTTCCTCTGCAGTCCACACATGGTACATTGACCATGTGCTTTCCTCTGCAGTCCACACATGGTACATTGACCATGTGTTTTCCTCTGCAGTCCAGTCATGGTAGAATGACCATGTCCCTCCTCCTGAAATACGGCTGCTTCTTAGTCGTCCCCCCTTTCTTTAACTCCATGTTTTATTTATGGACTTTGATCCTTGTACAGAGCCGCTGTGATTATATGTTCAATTCCTATTGAATTACACCGTTCAGGTAAAAGTTGTTCAATGTATGTTGAAATTGTGTGTCATTGTGTGAGACCTCCCTCTCCAGAATGATTGTGGTTTGATGAAAGTAGCACCTGAGCATCACACTCTCTCACATCCTTTCTCCTGCTGCACATCTGTGTCTCACAGAAACTCCTGTGGGAGTCTGAACACATCATGGACATTCTCTCATCTCTCCACTCGTCTGTGGAGATGTTTTCACTGATGCAGGAAAGAAAGAAAGCCAGTTTTAACTAGATGTTTGTGTTAGTTTTGTTAAAGCTCAGATTTAGCATCAAGGCTAAAGCTGTAATACTGTGATACAACAGACATGTTGAGCTTTTGTCTGTAATATTCATTATAATAATAGTGCAGCACAATAATTGTTTTATTTAATACGTGTGAACAAAAGACCCCTTGACGGAGGGAAATCTGAGTGTAGTATGCTAATTTGACTCAATGAGGCAGGAAAACAAACATCATAATCTCTCCTTTAATAAATAACAAATGTCATTATCACATGAAATACTACTCAAACTTCCAATTAATAATTTACTTTCTCCTTTAACGTACACAAATCATTTTCAATGTTAGACTAGATACTTTAAGTAATTAAATTACTGAAACAAAGTATTTGTATTTGAGACCCTGGTAAGAGCTGAGCCATCTCTTCACATTTCAGAATTAGGAGCACTGAGCATATTACATACTGTATCCACCCATAACTCAGCAATGAGATTGCAAATTACCTCTTTCTATTTTTAAACATTTGAACAATGCATATTTAAGAACACTTAACACGTTAGGCACTATTTGTTTATGAGACTGACTCCTCCATAATGCTCTGCTTCAGTTTTGCTCCTGACGACCGTTCTCTTCTCACTTACAGCAGAAATATCCTTCTTTGTGTCAAAAGCATCACTCACTCAGTCTGCACTAAATCCACTCTTTGTATTTGTAATGCGATTCTGAAGATTGTGCATTTCTGGTGGACTAAGTGCGCTGTTGCAGCTGTCACTAATAACAAATGGCTGTGGGTCCAAGCATCATGTCTGTGCAGCTTGATAAGAGCAGCAGCACCTCCTCCACAGCCATAAAAGACAAAGTTCTTTCTCATGTCTCGCAGACCCATCTCCTCAGACCACATTAGCATTTTTATTAGTAAAGAAGAGCTGGGATTATATACTGACAAACCCCGGCCGTCCTCACACAGAGTGCACAAAAATATAAGACAGATAATAGTTTTACACTTAACCCTAGAATTATTAAACTACTAAAACTCCTCGAGCCGTCATTTTGACTCCTCCTGTTCAAAACAATGGAATTCCGAGACATCAACTTTCAAGGAATTAATATGTGTTTATATATTGACAGTCTGTGGTTGAACGAGTAACCCCTGACTGCAGTCCGCAGATCGGGGCGGAGCTCAACGTGGGCGGAGTCAAACGTTTGACTCCGCCCACGTTGAGCTCCGCCGAGCGGGAGCTAGGCATTGAGGACTGTGCGTATGACAGAGAAGGAGAAGAAGCAGAGGAGAAGAAGAGCGAAGTAGCTGGCAGAATGGAGGTACTGTAGGCCAGTTTTTTCATTCTGTTTTAACGTGCAACTTTGCTATATTTGTTACCGACAAGGAAGGAAGTAACATTATTTTTATTTTAAAATAAGTTATACTTGTATGTATCTGCATTCTGCACGGTTGGACTTCTAATCTAGTATACCTAGCATTACTGTTGCAGCGAAAATTATATAAACCTGGACTTAAAAACGACTTTTCTGGGTTTTAGATTCATATTTATCCGGCACGACGTGCTGGGAAAATATTATACCTTTGGGGAGAAAATTTTATGTGATCGTTATTACTTTTGGGGGGGAAATATTATACTTTTCGCGGGGAAAATACGTTACTTTTTTAATCGTTGTTACATGTTGAATATAGAATAATGTAAGAATATAAAGCCAATATGCTAATATGTGATTTAAGCATATTTGAAATGGTACCATTCATAAGCATTTGACAATCTGACACATCTGAGTAATCTGCAGGAAATTGATATTGCTCTTCCTTGCATGTTAACATCCATGACATGACATTTGTTTTTGAAATGAAAAATTATTTCATATATTTTGTCTCGTGTGTTTCTAATTGCTGTGCCTTTTATGTCTATTGTTTTCCCCTCTAATATAGAGACACATCAGCATACTGATCAATGGTGAAATATCACTTTCAAAATGCACTGATGAGGGTTGTGAAAGTTTCCACTGTCCATTTTGCAAGTACAAGGGTGTAAAAACAATGGTTGAAACCCATATTGAAGGCCATTCTTCAGTTAAACACAAAGGTACCTGCCTAGCTTACATATTACATAAATTAATTAATTACATTAGTGTTTTTTCACATGTATGAATCTTGTTCCCTTCATTCCTCTCTTACAGAATTTACAATGATCAAGTGTGGGTTGACGTGTAGGAAGGCAACCCATTTTCATTGCTGCTACTGCACAGCAACAGTTGTTAATAGAATGCAGTTTGTTAGGCATTTAGAAATTCATCAAGAGGAGGAGACCCATCCAGAAGCCCCCGCTCAGCATCCAGAGGCCCCCACTCAGCATCCAGAGGCCCCCGCTCAGCATCCAGAGGCCCCCGCTCAGCATCCAGAGGCCCCCGCGCCTCATCCAGAGGCCCCGGTTCAGCATGCAGAGGCCCCCACACAGCATGCAGCACAAAAGAGAGTCACATGTCCTCATTGCAAGATAAAAATAAACCAAAAAAACTTCAAAACACACTGCAAGAGAAAACATTCCCCCCAATTTGAGACAGTGTCGAAGGACAGATATCTGGCCTGTCAGTGTGTTGATGGTAAAAATGGTGTATTTGCTGTTGAGAAATCATTTTGTGGTCCAGCAACACCCATACATGTTATCAAAAATACTTGGGGGCCAACTCAGAAAATCTTGTGTGAGGTTAACCAGTGTCGTCTAAACGCTGACTTTGCTCGAAGGAGCGGGATGTTGCCTTTCGAGTGCCACCACATCCAGTCTTTATTGTACTGCCCACGCACCGACAGTCAAACCATGAGACTAACTCCTGAGGCCTTGGGAACAATGGTGCAAAACAAATGGTTTGGCGAGGAACGTAAAGCCCTCTTGCGTTTGCAACAAAATGCTGATGCAGAGGGCGTGCCTCTGTCAGTGCAGCTGACTGTGGGTGGTCCACCATCCACCATCCAAAATTCATATTTCGGTTTATGAAAAAAAAAATTACTTATTATAGTAAGTTGGGAAGAGTGATTGTGTCATATGACACAAAGCAAAACAACTGGCATTGTCCTTGCGCTAAAGCAAGACAGTCTTGCAAAGCTGTTGCTAAGTGGCATCTGTTTGTCACAAAGAGGGTTCATGTTTAGTTTGCAGGCAGACTATGAGGAGTTCTGCAAGGAAATGATGGACAAAAGGCAGCTGCAGGTGTTTTCCGGCTTTGAAATGAGATAATTTTCTGCTCACACATGCTGCATTTCTTTGCATTTTCACTTTGTTTTGGTTCTCCTAGTGTGGTTTTTGGTGATTTTGTTTGTACTTTTTTATACCTGTGTTCCGGTTATGGCTTTTGTTTGTGTTATAAAATTTACCTTTTTGAAACATCAAGTCTGCATCCTTGGGTCCACTGTCTCGCTACCCCACCTCAAACCTCGGCATGTTTTAAGAAGTGTCAGTGGCACAATTCAGTCTCTGTTCTCCTTAATGTAGCTGATATAATTGAGTGGATACATTTATATAAGAATTTTTATTTTTTTAAATGAAGGCAGCATGGATAAAAAATAATGGACAGTAAAAAAAATATGGCTTTTGACAAGTTGAAAGTAGAAGCCTGATATTAAATGTTGATTTCACTTCACTGTTCTAGTTCAGTGGGAGCTGAACCTCATTAAAAAGTTGTGTGTAAAGTTGTGAGGGCTCATGGAAATGTAATCATATTACTATTATTTTAGTATCATTTATTTTATGAGACAAGAATGCATATAGAATATTATGTAACCTTACTATTATGTAAGCTGGTATTTACATTTGAGACAAAAAGAAACAGGTTTTACCAAAGATTTACATTTTGACACCAGATGTGATCCTGATATAAATAACAATGAATGGTGTCCCATACAAAAGCTTTTTATATTATTACAAGCTTAGGTGTAACATCAGAATCAGGTGCAATAATAAATAATGGTACCAAAAATAGTTTATAAATATACATAATATACAAAGGAGTAGAAGAATGAAAAGCATATCGGGACCGATAAATATTAATTATTTTTTTAAATCATCAACTTGATGATTTTACCCTTGATCAAGATTAAAATCAGGGTAAAATGAAAAAAAAAAACGCTTCCGTTAAAAAAAAGAAAAAAAAAAGAAGTCAAACGTTTGACTCCGCCCACGTTGAGCTCCGCCCCGATCTGCGGACTGCAGTCAGGGGTATATGGGTTGAACGGCTACCAAATACTGACAGATGTGTGTTGACAGTGTGTTGCTATGGTAACTAACTAACTGCTCATTTTTCAACATGTAAGGGATAATGTATAGCATACAGGTCATTATCGGAAAATAAGTACCGACAGGGCGAAGCGGACCCCGACGCGCGGAGGGGTCTGCTTCCGCCCTGAAGGTACTTATTTTCCGATAATGACCTGTATGCTATACATTATCCCGCTTATTATACTGCTTTGTACCAACTTAACATACAAAATAAACTTCAGATCACTTTTATGAATGCCAAAAGTTTATTTAATGACAACAAATAAAGTAGTCCCAAAAAGTTTTCCCGTTGCTCGGCAACCGCGGGCAGGCAGTGTGGCTTTGACAATTGTGGCTATGCTAGCAACAGTTAGGCTGGCAACTTCCAAACTAGAACTCTCTGGAACTGCATGAAAACTGAACAAAGAATTCTGAACATCAGCGGTGAGTGACCCATACATACACCTAACCTAAATCCATAATTCGATCCTCTGCAAATGTGTCCGAAAATGTGCCGGTATCTACTTCCGGGTTTTTCGGGATCGCCTTTTCTCACATTACATCAGTGTTTTTGTCATGAAAACGTAAACGGAAAATTCTGAAAACTTCCGTGCACTTGTATTAAGACTGGATTTGTATAATTCACTCTCCGATAAACATTTCATTGCGTTGATTGATTGGCATTTGCGTTTATTGAGCGGCCAGAACTACTTCCGGGTTTTTCACGATCGCTTTTTGACGCAGAGAAATAGTATTTTTGTCATGAAGACAAGACCAGAAAATTCAGAAAATTTCCGTGCACGTGTGTGAAGAATGTATATGTATAAGTATTCTCCGATTAACATTTAAGTGTGTTGAATGAGCGTGGCTAGCTCAGGAGTGGCCGGAACTACTTGCGGAGTTATCCACGCATTTGAAATACAAGCAGAGAGAGCGTTGCCATGGGCAGCGGTCATTATTGTTTTGAGAGGTCCGTTATAGAAAATAATGACCGGTAGAACGTTTTGAAATTACATTCAAATCAATGGAGCGTTCTACTGCTGCTCTGAGGAGCCGTATAATAATAACAGATAATTTCATGAAAATAATGGCGTAGAAATAAACTACATATAGAAACAGAAAAGTCACAAAGTTATGAAAACCACACATGAGTACACTGCCGTCAAATTGACTGCTCTGGGAGTTCTAGTGTTAAAGCAGAGATTCCAAACTCATTTAGGTCAGGGGCAGAACAGGAAGTGGTTCTGGGGCTGAATGAAAGGGATTTCCTTTACTTATGTATTTTTTTGTTTTTTGTTTTTTTTACATGTTGAAGGTATTTTGTCATCTCTATAAACTGACATTATTTTTTTCTGGTTGTTTTTTTCTTAAATGTGTTCATTGTTTAGATTTAACCAAAACTGGGCCAAATCTAAAGTTAAACCCATATTTTATAACAATTCTTCTTCTCTTTATGTGTTGGGTTCAAATGTTAGAATAAAGTCAATTAAGTCTCTGCTTAGACTGCTGCCCCTGCAACCTGGCAACAGATAAAGCGGAAGATGTTTGGATGGAATGAAATAAATTAAATGTGATTTTTTTTCTTGAGAAAATAGATAACGTATAACAAGCCTTGGTAGCCCATCATCATCAACGCTGCAAGTAATGAAAATAATAATCATAATATTACAAAATCAATTCTGAGGCCACTAAACATTGTCTTGCGGGCCAGCCGGAGTTCAAACGAATGAGTCAAAAATATATACAGGGTTTGTCAAAACAGCTTCCTCTGTGGAGTGTTTTAAGTCTTGTCTTTTTTCACTCTGACTTTTAACACCGCATGAGTTGTGTGGTCCTCTTTTTATTCTTTTTTATCATAACTAGAATTTTATCGTTTTTATCACATGGTTATTGTTAACTGGTATTGTATTGTTTTTATTATTATCTGTGCATATATAAATGTGTTGATTTTATCTCCGTGCAGCACTTTGGAGACTTGTATTATAAAACGTGCTATATAAAAAAAGTGGATTGCATTATTTTGATCATTGTTTCCTTCCTTCTGTGCTGACACATTTCTCCCTGTGTTGTGTCTTCTGCAGGGAGCATAGTGTACTTGGGGATGATGGTGGGGGCGTTCTTCTGGGGCGGCCTGTCGGACAGAGCGGGCCGCAGACAGATCCTGCTCATATCTCTGTCGGTCAACGGCTTCTTTGCCTTCTTGTCTTCCTTTGTCCAGGGGTACAGCATGTTCCTCTTCTGCCGCATGGTGTCTGGATTCGGGTGAGCTCCTACCGTTTTTATGTGCAGAAAGGTAATTTAAAAAAAAAGTGATAGCCCCGGCATCAACGGCGAAGGCTCAGTCTGGCTCGGTCTGGTTCTTATCGCACGTCGTCCTCGGGTCAGAGACAGATAAAAGGCTCCTGATGTGTCATGATACAGTAACACATCTGCTTTTGCAACTGGACATGTAGCGGCAGAATCATCGTTACAGAGCACATCAGATTCATTTTATTTGCCATTTGCAGCAAAACCACACTGGAATACATTTGCAAAAGTCCCCAGTGTGCACCGGACAAGTACGTACATAGGGCAAGGTTAAAAGTACAGAAATAAAACAGTGTAATCCTTTATACATTACATTATTTATTATTGTTTACTTGCCAAAAGCACACAAAATATCCACATAGATAGATAGATAGATAGACCTTGAGTCAGATATTTTGACGGTACAGAGGTTACCAATGATTGAATTGTTCTTGTGTAGGATTGGAGGAGCTGTGCCCATAGTCTTCTCCTTCTTCGCTGAGGTACTGGCTCGAGAAAAACGAGGGGAACACCTGAGCTGGTTGTGTATGTTCTGGATGATTGGAGGGATCTATGCTTCTGCCATGGCCTGGGCTATCATCCCACACTACGGTGAGGCTGCAGTTCAGTTCATTTAATGCATACAACAGTGCAGATAATAAACACACATGTAGAAAATCAGAACTATAGAAGCAAATTACCAAACAAATTCATGAATTTAGAAGCACGGCTAATGATTGAAAACCTGTTTCATATTATGTCCTCTCTTACAAACTAACTATTAATTTTGAAATGCACGAGAAAAATGTAGAAAGTATTGATATTTGGGCTTAAAAGTGAGGAGTACAAATTGGTCAGAAAAATTATGAGTAAAGTGCTGATACCAGGAAAAAATACTAACATGTTACTTAAATAGAAGTAAGTGTGTATTTCAAACTTCAAAAAAATTACTTATAAAAATTACTTACTTAAATTACTTATTTAAAAATACAGTTTTGAGGGTAAAGCAAATGTGATCATGAAAGAGCAACATGGCAGGGAAATGAAATGTGTAAATGTAGGACTATGGTACAATGGTATATGGTGCTCACTTCCAACTGAGATCCCACATGCACTGAATAAAATGTATTTGTATAATAATCTAATCTTGTGTGCCCGACCAAAAAATGACTTTTGGAAAGATAGCTCTGTTCCCATGCGTGAGTGTGTGTGAGCTTGGTGTGAGTGTGAGCTATGAAGCAGAAGTGAGAAGTGGGGGCTGGGTAGTTTTAGTCTAACTTGTTAAATGAAGTTGTAACCTCTGTCTGATAATGTATAAAATGTATGTAATGTGTGGGTCCTTCTACTTTGGTTTTACTGTGACATCAACCTGCTCAGGGACTACAGGTGTAAATTAGCACTGCATTTTAACCTGGCACAATGCATCTTTAACTTTGGCTAATGCTTATTTTGCACTGTCTCTGTAAAAATCATGACATATCAAACCAATAAACACATAGACTTCTACCATTAGGCTTTATCTAGGTTTTATTTGCCTGCGCACTCAGGGAAACACAAAGCAGGTGGCAGTGTGGGCGGGGGCTCGACAACTCACTGCTGCGGCGCGATGACACTCAAAGGAAATGCCAAAACTATTTATGGCACTCATAGAAATCATTCAAATTCAGATTACTGATGGAGGATAGTGTTTGAATTCAGGTCGGGTAAAGGAGAAAATAGAACAACAATAGACATGCCGATCAAAAGAAACCTTAGTATATTTGCTTTATGCTTAACAAATGTGAGGAACAGTGAGATGAAGTTTTGTCTTGGCCTCTTGAGCCTAAGTCTCAGTTTTGCATTTGTATATTTTGCTCTTGTCCAGGGCGTCATTGACAGACCTGGTGAAATATTATGTTTAGAAATCACAAGGATATTGTGTATTCTGGTCGAGGGCGGTAACAATAACAACACAAGTTGCTGGGGTACAGTATATTAGACTGGGCAGGTATTAAAGGGGCAATATGCAATGTTTTTGTGGGGGGAAAAAAAAACGTCTTTGGTTAGTAATATGTATTTGACCTTGGAGTTACCAGTGGCTATAAGAGTGGTCATTATTGTGTTTTAAGTTTTAATTATGGTGGTGTCTACATTGCTCCAGGATTAATACAGGTTTTCTGCAGGTCCTTTGTTGAGGTATAGGTAATATGTATAGATATAGAACCAAACAACTGATCCGATACCAACCTAGATAGATAGATAGTTACTTTTTTGATCTCCGTAGGAGAAATTCAGGTGTCCAGTATCAGCAGAAACACGTTCATTCATACAAACAAAACAAATAATAACATAATTCTAAAAGTAGCTAACAATAGTAATGAAATAAGACATTACTGTGATGGAAGTAAACGTCCTGCTGACATTCATACAGCCGCTGGGTCACTACATGGTCAATTACGCAAAATATATATTATTTTTTTCATAGGTGGAATAATTCCCTTTTAAGCAGGAACACTGTAGAATAAAGACTGTCTAGTAGTAGTAGTTTATCTATTCGGTCATTATAAACATTAGATCTTAGGTCACATGTTTTCAAAGATATTGTACATTTTACAATAGGAACAAAATTGTGTGTATAAGAATTAGGCAAAAACCCCAGTTGGTTTAACAACAATATCTAATTTCAGTTTATCCGCAAATAACTTATCGACGCACTACTGTTTACACTCAAGTGGTTATATTGTCTTTGTGGTCAGTCCCCGTTGTGTCCTAAATAAGTAGGATGTTCAACACATTTGTTTTTGTCAAAGTCGGGAGACCGGCCGATGGTGTAATTGAGGTCAATCGATCGGATGCTACTGTTTTAACACATTTTTGTCCCAAGTGCAGTGGAGTGTGGGTGATAGGTTCCGCCGCAGTGCTTTTTGCATTGACTGGTGGACGCCGCTGTATGACTCTCTTTTATACGACACCAATGAAATGCTATTACAGAATACTACTTGTGCAGATTTCCCAAACTCAGCTCAAGCTTTGGTGACATGTGTGAATTTAATACAAACAGATTTTTTTCTAGTTGTAAATGAAGGGAGTGGGATTGTCAATCTGATATTATGGTGCATAATCGCTCATATTTATTCTGTTTGTATCGTTCAGGTCAGACTCTGGGAGGAGAAGGGTGAGCATGCTTGTAGTTAGGGCTGCATGATATTATAACTATATCTAAATGTGATTTTTCAGACAACCATTGGGATTTCTGTCAGTGGTCTAGGGCAGTGTTTTTCAACCTTTTTTGAGCCAAGGCACACTTTTTTCACTGAAAAAATCTTGCGGCACACCTCCAGGAGAAAATGTAAAAATGTATACATTTATACGTACTAATGTAAAAAAATATATACTGTACATACCAGGGACGTGCGGTGAGATTTATGATTGGGGAGGCACTGACTTTGAGACTCAGTTTTGCAATCGACATTTTAATAAAATAGCATTAATTCGGATGGAAGGGTCTCCACCCACCAATGCAATAACGTAAACAAATGTAACACAAACCAGCATATTTTAATAACCCATAACACATAACGTTGCTGACTTTCTGCTTCACATCACACAACGAGAAGCACAGGTGTAAGAGACGCGAAGAGGGAGGATACGCGTATCGCCTGCATGTTAAATTGCTCAAACGGGCAATCGTGGGCTTCAATATTAAGAGCATGAAATTATACATGTACACACAGGTTCTCTCTTTGGCCCTCTACTGGCAGAGACGGTAGACGGGAACGGGCCCCGAAACGGGCTCTGTTGTGAACAGGCCCGAATCCACAATCTATTTCAGAATAATAATACACCATCATGCAAACACTATAGACAATAACACAAATTCTCGCTGGTTGTAGCATTGACAAACAAACATAAAATAATTAACAGTAGCATAAACTGTCCACCTCTGTGGTGCTGAAAAACGTAGTGAGATAGCAGAGCGGAGAATCACAGAACCCGCACTGTTCCAACACAAACTATAATACAAACTCGAGCAGTGTAGTATTCCTACTTTACTTGTAAATGAAGTCCATTCGTCTGTCCTTCTTGACAAAGATCTTGATGACTTCGTTGTAAAAGGCCTCCTTGTCTTGTTTCAGCTTTAAAAGTCTCTCTTTCTCAATTGAGATCATTGCCAGGGAAGAAAGACGTCCTTGGTCAGTCCTATTCCGAGTGTATGTTTTAAGTCTTTTCAAAGCAGAAAACGATCTTTCCACCGATGCCGTCGTAGCTGGTATAGTGAGGACCAGCTGGAGTAACTTTGTTGCCTCCGGAACAGTGGCAAGCAGATCATTGTCAGCCAAAAAGGTGAGAAGCTGTCCCGGTGATTTGCATATTTGCCCCACCGTATGTGAACTGTACAGTCCCACGAGATCAGCCTTTAGTCTGACAAAGTCGAAGAACCTGGCATACTTTGTCAAACTCTGCAGTTTGGCGTTATCAAAGTGCTGTGACATTTGCGCAAACTTTGCACAATCGACCAATTCAATGAAAGCTAGCTCACCAAAATGATCAAATCTAGCTTTCATCTGAGCGCTGACATTGTCCAGAATCTTGAAAAACACCTGTTTCCTCTCATCTTCAACTGGCATTTTACGTTGGCTTCTCTCCTCTGTCAGGCCTAGTTGCGCGCGTCTCTGCTCAAATCGTTCATAGAATATATGAAACTCCTGTCTCATTCGTTCCACAACTCCAATGGTGTCGCGTATACGCGCACAACAAAATCCAATGTCCATTGTCTTGTTCTGCAGCACTCTAAAGAGCGCATCAGTGTGACTGAATATATCCTCATATGCCATGATGAAAAAGCATGTTGATTCTTTGGATAACCACCGATCATATCCAGCAGCCATCATCAGGGTGTCGTTATCCCAAGTGTCCGGATTTTCAATCATGTTCTGGAATACAGCCCGCAGATCAGTCTGGTACATACTTATGGTTTGCAACAGGTTTGAATTTGAGCTCCATCTCGTAGGCGCTGCTCTTGGAATCCGCCGCTTCACAACTTCATCCAACGCGTGAGTGCGTTTTGTTGACTTGCTGAAAAATGTTGCAAGTCCCTCCATAGTTTTAAAAAAAATTCTACACTCTGGTATGCATTTTGAGGAATGTGAGAGCACAAGGTTTAGTTTGTGTGCATAACAGTGGGTAAAAAGGGCTTCCGGAACTTTTTCTTTTATTCTAGCCTGCACACCATTTAGCTCTGATGCCATCACCGATGCTCCGTCATATGTCTGGGCTACCAACTTTTCGATACATTTGTATTTCTCCAAAACTCCGAAAACATACTGGGCAACCGCTGCGGCCCGTCTGTCATCACTCACGTCATCAAATCCGAGAAAGGCCTCCTTCACTTCACCTTTAGCAACGTAACGCAAAATCACAGAGATCTGAGCTTTATTTGTTACGTCCGTTGTCTCATCCACTTCCACTGCGACAAATGGGGCTGCGTCAATCTCCTTTTGAATATCATCTCTGATCACATCACGGACTGCTTCGATCAAATCATTCTGAATTCTGTTTGATAATCCAGAAAATACAGTGGATGTCTCCAGGTGTCTTGTTAGCCGCTCATCTTTTTCAGCAAAAGCATGTAATAGTTCTACCTAGTTTCCACGATTTGATGAAGTTGTGCTCTCATCGTTACCACGAAAGGCCAGCTCCTGTTTAGCTAAATAGCAGGTTGCATTTATCAGGTCTTTTAATATCTCACGGTTTTCCTTTACCTTTGCATTGTGGATGCTGATATTAAGCCTGTGTTGTTCATTCAGAGCCAAATCAATTCGTGATGTCCCAAACGTTTTTAAAGATATCTGACTTTGGATGTGAACAGATGACAGTTCGTGTTTAGTGAGACTTCTTGGCAAATTTTTTTAATCACAAAATCCAGTTGTGGTCCACACATGGTCACTCGTAGAAAACAGAAGACAGGGAAAGCAAAAAAGTCGGTTTTTCTCTGCACAACCACAAAGCCATTCCTTTCTGTCATACCACTCCCGTTGAAAAGAACGCGTCACTCCAGCTGCTTGAAGCAGACCGCGAAGGTCCGGTGTCGGCCTCCCACCTTGAATAATTTCTTTCTTTTGTTGAAAATCCCGTTTAGAAAAACATTTCAGGTTCAAAATTACTTCCCCCATTTTACCGCGAGCTAAAGAAGTAGCAATAGCGAATAGCTGATTGTTTGTTTGTTTGTTTTATAGCAAATCTGGTGGTATTAAATTATTCACGCTCATTACCGCTCCTATCGGTGAGGCACAGACACTGCCTGCCTCAAGGCAAGCTTTTTCCTCGTGTATTTTTCTGCGATCAAAAGTCTTATACTCGATTTGAATAGTGCAATCATATGTGAAATACATTACCAAACACTATGGCAATCAATATGTTTAATGTAAATGTTATCAAAGCAGTATATTAGAAACATATAACAAAATGACGACTAGCATGAGCTGAGTACACTCGCACCATTCACTTTGCGAGAGACCAAGCGATCTGGGGTGAGGCACGCCTTTGCGCTGCCTCACCTCTAGCCTCTTTACAAGAAATACAAGATTTCAGCGATTTTGAGTACAAAAATTATGAAAACTGATCAGAACCAAAGCGAAAATGCATTATAAGCATAGACTAGTGGAAAATATTTATTCCTATTTTTTTTATTATTATTTTTTTTCTCATGATGGCAGGTGAGGCTCTGCCTCCCCTGCCTCCCCTGACTGCACGTCCTTGGTACATACTCTGTGATATATAAAGTATGTCTTATCTTATCTTATCATGTATACAGTATACTCTGTAGCCTATATTCACAATATACAGTTATTCTCATCAAAATGCTTAAGTCCAGGCCTTGACATTAAGCTTTATTTAATATTTCTCGATACAATTAACAAGAGTTTGGGAATAAAGTGGCACTAACTGTGTGTAAAAAAACTAAGAAAATCCACTCTCTGCCCAAATAGTCAAATAATAACTCACACAAAGAACATGCATTGTTAGTGCATGGGAAAAATTTAGGTATCCGAGCTTTAAATTCAGGAGTTTTGGATTAGGGACACGGGAGGTCCTGAACGCGAGTCCATGGTTCTGTCCGGTCCGCATGTCTATGGTTCTGTCCACTCGACTATGGTCTGCGCTCGGTACCCAGTTCAGAAGTGCGTTCGCGAGAGCTGTTGTACAAAAATTGTACATTTCATAGTTAAACCACTACAACGCGGCCACAGCTGCCCCGGGGCAGAGCGGAGGATGTTAATCATGTTCAGAAACGGCATAATTCATTTTCAAAAACGTCTCTATCACTTTCACTTCTCACTCGCCACAAAGCTCTTGTCTCGCTCCCTCCCACATTTGTTGGTCGCATCCAATTTTACCTTTCTCGCCACAATGCTGACCTGTTACAGCCAGTGGTCGCATCCAATTTTTCAGTTTCAAAGTACTTACCTATCTGCTGCCATCTACTGATTTGAAAAAGTATTACATGGTTACTCCACAGTTCAAAACAAGTCACCGCTCGTCAACAGCGAATGCAGTTATTTTTAGACAAAGTAGACGAATTTCTCACGGCACACCAGACAATATCATACGGCACACTAGTGTGCCGCGGCACAGTGGTTGAAAAACACTGGTCTAGGGGCATTCAAATTTGAGGGATTTTTTTAATTATGTATTTTTTATTTGGCAATTTTTTCACTGTTTCTCATTTAAAATCCCACTGTGGCAAGTTATACTGTATATACGAATGGACTTGCCTATTTCAATATCAGATGACACAACAATTGAAGTATTATCTTATTCACTATCGATTTTAACCTATTTGCAGTGATGCTTCTATTTCCAAGCCTGTTTCAGAAGTCTAAACACAGGGAACAACTGATTTATAAAACGCAACAAGATAATACGCTGTCTGTAAAGGAAATCTTGAATTCTACATGATTGCAATATTTTTCTTTTGTGAGTCAGGGCCACTAGTATAGTTGTTTCCATTTGGTTGCGACTGTGCAGCCTTACACATAGTTGCCCCTCTCCAATGCGATTACGGGGGGTTACAAGCCAGTGTTAGAAGTAGTTCGGTCCTGTTCGATCCAGCTATGACAAATAGACTGAAAAAGTTTGAGCACCCCTAACAATTTTTAGGATTTAATTTTATAAATCA